AACAGTTTAAATGCTACTTTTATTAACTTGATAAAGGCTTCTGTAAAAACAGCAGTGAGTCCTGAAGTTTTGGCATTTTTATTAGCCAAATTACATTTCTGATTTCTGTATTTCCGATCTACAGTCAAGATCTGGTAGAATAAATTCTGCTATTCTGTTTTCTTCAGAAAGCTCTTTAATACAACATTATGATTTTAGCCGTGGTGTCAATCAGTGTCAGAGAATTCTTACTATCCTTCAGTAGTGGGTGTTGTCAGTCTTTTAATGTGCCTACTGCTTCCTTAATCTTTTCATGCACAATAAAGGAGTTGTGGATCTTGCTTAGGTCTTCTGTCTTGTAAATCAGTTTATTTTCATTTCTCTGATTTTGTTTCATGTGTTATTGTGTAATTCTTTGTATCTGACTATACCATCATCTTTTCACTTTTTTCCTCCCATCTGTTACTTCTAATATTTCTAGCACTGCATTCAGCCTCTTGACTATCATACATGCACTCTGATGCGACCTGCACTGGCAGTGACAAACCATAAGTAGCTGTTGTTAAAAATAGGAAAATCACCATTACCACCGCCCAGCCCCCCATTAAATGTTTTGCATTACTTTAAAAGAATAAGACTTTGCTGTCAAGTCAGTTCTGACTTATGGTGACCCATTTCATGGTTTTCCAGGCAGAGAATACTCAGAAGTACTTTACCATATAAAACTAGCTGATAATGACATTGACATACAAATTTATGTTGCAATAACACTTGTAAATACAAGTGTTTTAAAATGTAGAGATAAGGCAATTAAACAGGGACATGACAGCAGTTGTATAGAGTTGGGAAAGGTTTAAGAAAGTAGGTAGAGAATGTTTTTTCTCCTTTCATAATACTGTCATCTAGGGTCATCTGCTGAAACTCTGGCTCTTACATTCTTCTGATCTCAGAACAAGTCTCCACAGAAAACTTTAATCTTAAAGCAGTGGTACCCAACCTTGGGCCTCCAGATGTTCTTGGACTTCAATTCCCAGAAATCCTGGCCAGCAGAGGTAGTGGAGAAGGCTTCTGGGAGTTGTAGTCCAAGAACATCTGGAGGCCCAAGGTTGGGGACTATCGATCTAAAGCATTATTTACTTGATAACCTTCATAGGCATTGTAGTGGAAAATCTTATGTATTCCCATAGAATCTTCCATTTCAAAGCAGTGTTGTTTTGCAATGTTTTACTCTGTGGCACTGTGGTCTACCCAGAAGATGTAAATAAATATTGTTAATGCAAGTTTCTCATACTGCTTGAAAGTAAATAGCTCAGGAAACAAAAGAAGACCCAGCTGAAAGCCAGCTTGAATCCTGAAAGGGTGATTTGGTTTTTCAAATAGGGATTAGAGTGAAATGCTTTTCCTATTAGAATGCAAAATGTAAGTCCTTTGAGAAGAAAAAAAGAAATATCAGGATTTTATTTCTGTGCTGTTCTCCGTTTTTACCTAGTTGCCCCAGAGAAAAGGTGATAATTCCTCTCTAAACCCTGTTGTGCTGAAGCAAAGCTCTGAAATGTTTGCAAATAGGATTTTTAGTGGTGAGCTTTGACTATGCCATTTCATTCCCAACCCTGGAGATTTTCCTATTTGAGCAATGAACATGATGATGCCTCTCCCATGGGCAGAAAGTGACCAATTTGTAGTTGCATCTAACTTCAGTGGTGGAAACAGGAGAGTGTTTTCCACCACACATGACTGCAGCAAGTAACTTAGGGCATCTAGGACAGGTTGCATGGCATGCATGACACCTGGCATCTCATCTCCCCTCAGTAGCTCCAACTGTAGGCACCTTCCTTACTCTGCCATATGGTAGGACTGTCCTGTATGCTCTACAGGTGCAGCAATGCAGTATAGATGCTATTTACAGTATATATTATGATTTCACTTGAGTACAGTAAAAAAGACAGACTATTCGGGTTATAGAATCCAGCTTTTGGCAAATCACATCAATCAGTTAAATACAAAACAAAACTCAAGTCAAAAGCAAAAATCTAGCCCTTGTGCCTGCTCTGTGGATATATGCTTGGAAACTGATTGATCTGCAGTTTGATGGAGGGTTTTCTTGCTTTGGAAGTGTGGAAGAGCAATGCCTGCTGAGTTTGCAGAAGCTTCAGAAGAGCTGTTGAATCACAAGCAGATGGGGTTTTTCAGCACCTACATAAGTTCTTCCCTCTTCCCATGCTGCAATGCAAACCCAATGGCTCTTAGTTAGAATAGAACCATTGGAGCAATTGCTGAATGGCAAGTCAAAAATCTGATTGATTCAGTGGTTTCTCTTCTGCAGTTGGGATAAGGGATTTGGTCTAGGCCTATGAAAACTTGAATGAGTTTTATGAAAAAATAAATATTGCAGGATAAATGATGACACCTTACTTATGATATGTAAATTTGCTTCATTTGCAAAATACATGCATATCTAGGAATTAAACTTGTGTTTTTGCAGGGCTGTTAGAAGAGAGTGATAGCATAAAGCATGCATGTTAAAAAGCTGAGTCTGTGAACATTGATTTCAGCCCATAGTGCTCACCCAGTGTGAATTTAAAGGGATATCTTGGCTCTTGCTGCTCTAAGGATAGTGGTGAATTCTTAGGTAAATATATTGTAAGCTATTCCCCAGCTAATCAGCATAAATTATCACCTGATATTGACTCTTAAAGGAAATATGTGTTTTTTTAAAAAATCTCATAGTCAATATCTGAGGAATTCCATTTTCCATAGAAAAAAGCTACGTTTTAATGTCTTCTTGTAGACTAGTGTGTGATAGCTTAATAATTTATCAATACATTTAAATACACTTGGATGTGTGTTGTGTATTATTAGTTGTTGAAGAAATGTTATTAATCTATAGACCATTTCTTCCCAGACCTACTGAACTATTTTCAAGCTCTTTGCATATGTAGTTATCCTAACTGTATTCTGTGTATTTAAGAATCGCTAAATAAGTCTCATGGCAGGCTTTGGACTGTATATATAGGAATATATAGAAGTTTGCTTCTTTGCTGTCTATTTTATTTTTTTCTCTTTCTCTCTAATACTTAATGGGGCACATAGTTGGCATTAAAATACAATGTGAAATGGTTTTGAATCCGGTTGCCAGATTGATTTAACACTTGTATTTTCATTAGAAATATTTCTCCATCAATGGTTTTCAGGGTAGGTTTTCATCTGGATATGTCTCCCCAGCTTGGGTCAATCCTGTTCTGCTGTCTTATTAGTGAATAAGATGTATTTTTATTTAGTATGATTCGAATCCTAAGCTATGCCTATGAAAAAGGGGATCTTTGGCTACTTTTACCCTAAGATCTTATGGACCCACTTACTGTTTTTTTTTTTAATTTCTCGGAAGCATCATCAGTTTTTAAAGGGAATAAAGGGAACTATCAAAGGATAGTTTGCATTTATTCTCAAAATTGTGGGTGTAAGGCTGGATCCCACTGGGTTTCCCTTTCCAAATATACAAAGACAGTGATTAACTGGGAAGCAGAACACTTTATTTACATAGCTGGGACATAATAACAAAGCATGCCAAGCAGAAAATCTTCAATCAGTTTGTTATACTTGTATTATTTAACATTTACCTGAACTCAGTATCGACATGTTCCATGTATGTTACACCAGATCCTCACTATATATCTTCCTCTCAGAAACTAAGCATCGTCTTCCTAACTCCACATTCTCCCTTTCACTCATTCTTCTTTTCCACACTTTCTCCAGACTCTAAAGCTCTGACTCAGTGGTTGAAATCAGTTTGCACATGGTATAGTGTAAAGTCATTCCTGTGGAGTTACACCACTCAGTCCACACTAGATGCCTGACTGCACAGTTTACTGTGTAACTGGTTGGGCAACACACTTGGAAATCGCTTCTGCATTGGGATAAATTTCACTACTACAGGTGCAGTTTTGAGTTGTGCAATAAAATTTCATCCGCTGACTCTTAACTACCTCTTTCCTCCTTCATCCCTATTCATAGCATTCTATACTGTGATAGGCTGACACAAAATAAGGGTGAATACCAAGCAACAGGATAAAATTTCTCCATTACCCATTTTTTGTAATTATCCAAAACCTTTTCTGGATGGTGAAGGGGACTTCCTGAGCCATATGGAAAGGGGCAAGGGGGCTGCAGCAGGGAGGAAAGGATCAAAATCTTCCATAAGCTTCAGATTTACTTTTTTCAAGAGCTGTTTGACTTGACATGATCCTCCCCATCCCAGCATCCTCTCACATTCCATAATTTTTAAGAGCACCCCTCATTCCCTCAAAAGCTTCTGGGAGGATTGCATGGCAGTTGCAGAAGGAAAGAAAGGATGGGAAATTTTCATTTTAAGTTAACATCCAAACGTGTTGAGCTGGGGCAAAAAGTTTTCTAATGTAGTTATGCTTTTGCTAAATCTACTTGTTAATTTGGAAGTCACACTAATCAAAAGGACAAAAGTGATTTTCTGACTCACTGAACTGAATAATTTGATCTCTTGTAATGTGTCATGGATCTACACATTAACTATTACAGGAACATTAACTGTAATGCTGGTTGTTGCCAAAATGTATGTGATAATTTATTGACAAGAAACGTGCAAGTTATTTAGGAATTATTATCAGATGTCCTTACCAAATGTCTGGGATTATTCCATGAGCCTTAAGCCCCAATGTTTTTTTCTTTTCTTGAAGGTGCAACTAGCTCCTGTCATGTTAATATAAAACGTGATCTGTATGCTTTGGTACATGTGTTGTGTATGAGTTTGAGAAGTCAATGTCAGTTTTGGCACAATCCGCAAGTACACAAAAGTAATAACATTTGCAGTAAAACACCAACAGTAGATTTTAGTTTTAAATGCCAGTAATCAGTGATGCTGGTAAAATAATGTTTCAGATATGAAGTTCTGTATTCGGAGTGGGATGCAGAAACGAATGAACTGGTGAATAATGTAAAGGTGGTTGTTTCTTCCATTAACCTATATTTCCCTCCCCTTTTTAATACAGATAATGCTTCTGAGTGATCCTGAAATTGAAAGTAGTATAATGATCAGTAATGATGAAGGTGCCACCTATCAAAAATATCGACTGAACTTCTATATCCAGAGTCTCCTCTTCCATCCTAAGCAAGAAGATTGGATTCTAGCTTACAGCATTGACCAAAAGGTACATTGTTTATTATCTGTCTGTCTCGTTACACTGTTTCAGACAATCCCTTCAACACTTTATGGACTACCAGCAGTAAACTTCAGGTTTGCACACAAATCCTCCACTTTCCTAAATGTGTCAGAAGGATCCGCTCTTTATTAATAATCAGACTTCCCCACTGACCATACCACACATATACACATTTTGGGTTTTCTTTGCTTACTGGTCATAGACTGGTCTCCTTGGCCTTTTGCTTCCTGCTTTTCTTCTTCACTGACCTCAGTGGTTAGAACTAATCAGACAGGGATATCAGAATTTGGGATTCCAATTTGTTGCTCCCAAACAAATTGGGATTCATTAGCTACCATAGCAAATCCTATCTAGTGAAGAAAATTGTGCCAAGGTGAGAAGGAAAAATAAAAAGAATTGGGACATTAGTTCATGCACAGATAGTTTGCTTCACAGGCCTCAACTGCACTGCAACTGTTGCCACTGAGAAAGAAGTCTTCATCCAGCAACACGGTAAAGTGTGAAGAACTTCTGGTATTACCACCCAGTGCAAAAGACATGTCCAGTTCCATGTGGAGGGTATTCATTTGCAGTGGTTTCCTCTTTTTGCTTCACATTGCCATCTCCATTCATATTTTCCAGTTTTCCAAAAAACTTTAAAATTTAAACTGGAAAATACTGGCAGAACCATATTGGCTTTGTGCAGCAAAAACTGCAAGTTCCCTACCCTCTGTAAGCTGGGGCCTATGCACATTATGCACTTATTTTCTTGCTAAGTCATGTGACATATGACCAGGGAATTGAGAAAATTGCTTGCACAATTTCCATTATTCCCGGGCTCAGAATTTCACAATGGGATTCTGGTCAGTGCTTATGGTGAAATCCAAGAAATGGCTGGGTCTGCTGAATCAAGTTATAGAGGACCACCCCATGTTCTTCCTTTTGAACAACATTGTGGCAGACAGCCCACACGTCACTCCTGTCCGTCATTTTAGAGCCCTAGTGCAGGAGCCTATGACAGGACAGGAGGGGCGGAGTCAAGAGAACTGGGAGAGAGACAGAGAGCCAGTGAGGGAGAAGATTGTGAAGTGTTTAGACAAGAGATTGGAAAGTTGGTGCGTTAGAGAATATAAAAGAGTTAAAAGTAATGAGAAATACATAGACTGTCGGAATACTGAGACCTTGATTAAAGTGAATGAATACCAGTAAGCGTATATGTAATCAAATCAATGTTTATTGAATGAATAATTTTTAAAAATCCATGATTTTATGTTTGTGATTTACCTACCAAACCATAAATAAATCTTGTTATATTTGGCAGCAATAGTCTGAGATTCATAATTGGTACAGTGAGGGTAACATCCTCTGGTGGTAGCGAAAAACGGTGAAAAGAACAAGTCGTGTTTGAAGGTGAACCTGTGTGAGTGGGAAAACAAACAGGGGACACTGGGGGTGCGCGACAAACATAAATCTCAATCAGGTCGGCTGCCACCAAATATCTCTATATAATTTTATTCAGATACATGTTAGAATGAAATAAGGAAGCCCTTCTTTTGCCATCCTATCTTCAGAAATGCAGTTTGCTGGATGCCACTCCCTTAACCTCAGACTTCCTTTGAACTGAATGGAATTATTTCAGAAATGCAGACTATGGTTTTGCAATGCAGGATATAAGTTTGTTATTTGTAATCACAAAAAGCCATCTTTCATGTAAATGAAGTCATTAATGATCTTATGGGGTCAGGGATTGTCATAACCTTTGGAGGATGGAGATAAGAGGGTCTTAGAAACAAATAGTTGTGAAACCATGGTAGAACCAAAATAAATTCTGCTGTAAAACTGTTTAGCAATTTCCAGGATGGCTCCTTTAATGGAACCATGTTCCTTCTGCCTTCCCTTGCCTTTTCATCTGCAAATAGCCTAAAAAGTAAATACATCACTTGTCAAGCTTCATAGCTAAGGCTAGCCCTTGTTATAGTGTGCCTTCTCTCTCAGTTTAATTAGAGGAACAAAAAGGAACAAAAACTATTTTGGGCATATCATCTATTTTTTGGAGGAAAAGAAGGAAGCTACTCACTTTGGGAAAAGTAGTGTCTTCTTCTGGCCATGCACTTTGGTTTCTGTGTAGCTCTAGCTCTATATCAGCCACTGCCACAATATCCAGACCTGTTATTGTTTTGACTTACATGCCAACCCACAGGACTAGAGCACTCTCTGGGCAGTTTACAACATAATTATGCAAGGAACCCTTTGCCTCCCCCGTGAGGTGAGTACTCGTTTTACTCACCTCAGAAGGATGGAAGGCTAATCAAACTTGAGCCAGCAACCTGAGCTCATCGAGATTGAATTAGTTCTTAATGTCTGCCCAAATCTCTCAGGATAAATTTGGTATCTTCTCTTTGGTATTCCACCTGCTTCAAAGACTGCACACTTCCAATGTATTCTGGCTTCTTCTGAGTTCAGAAGACCAGCAAGTAGTTTTTAAAATGTACTGAGACTAAAAGGGGGAGGATGGCAGCCAACGTGCTTTCAGATTTTCTGAGCTTTCCAAGGATCTTTGAACATCCCATAGATTATCAAGATGTGGGAGAACAGCTTAAATCTTGGACTGCTTGTGGCATGATCCAGTGTGAGCTATTTTTTCATTGATTGTACAACACACAGGAGATTGCAGACCAGCCCAAGCTGGACCTTTTGGGTCCAGCAGCACAGTTACTCTTTTGGAGCTGATTTCCTTCCTGTACAGACAGAAGGTTTGTTTTAAGGGAGATCACTCAGAGAACTGATCCTTTCCAACATGATCAGGTACAATCTTTTCTCATTGTCTGATCACACTCTAATTGTGACCTGTACATGGAAGTGGAATGATGAGCAGAAGGCTTCTCTGTGTTAACAGCAATGTTTTCTCTCTGAAATTTGCACCAAGAGTTTCTGTCCATTTGCTGAAGCATGAATGAAATGCAAGGGAAGAGGACTTTTGTTCTGCGTTGTTTTTTTCGCTCAGTGGTTATCCTTACAAAATGTATTGGCCTTCATTAATAGGCCACTGAACAGTATATGTTAGTCTCTTCTCCTGCAGTACATACTATTATTTCCAGGTCTTTCTCACGCCTGACCTAGGTAAGTTGATACACTTTAAAGTGTTATGTTATATACTGCACTGGTAACCAGAGATAATGATGAATACAGCCTTTATCTTGTTAACAGAAAGCTTCAGGTGCCCATTGCTATTCCTCTGATGATGCTATGGTGACATTTACAGATGCCAAGCCACGGTAAATGTAGAGTTCTTTTCTCTGCCAGGCAGTTACTATATGAAAGGATGTAGCCAAATGTCAATCCTTTTGCAAGCTCAGATGTTCAGGAATTCAGCAGTATGGCTTGAAAGATCGAGTGCATCCATTTGATGTTGCTGAATGTTCTGATGTCACTCTGGAGGTACAAAGGAATTTCATGAACTACATCTGTGTTTAGATGCAGAAAGGTGTAAGAAAGAGACAGCCAATGATTGTCATGGAATGTGATACACAGTGATCATGTACTGTACAGTATGGTGAATTTGGGTTAATCCTCCGAATTTTGAAACTGGGTTGTCAAAAGTTCCTACTGAATATTTGACAATATATTATATTTATTTATTATTATTTAAAATAAAATATTTTACCTCACCTTTCTTCTTAAGAACCCATGGTGACTTATATCATTAAAAGACAAGGTTTAAAGCTGAAAGCAGTAAGTATACAAGTACTAAAAAAATCAATTACCACATTAAAAGACAGTAAACAAAATCAACACTGAAAATATATTCAAAGCAGTAAGGCACAACCATCTATTTAGAAATCCCACTCAGGCAGCCAGTCATTAAGAGAAAGCTTGCCTGAAGAGTTTTTGCCTGTTTGCAGAAAAAAGAATTTGTTTATTGAACCGTAGTTGAAAACAAGGGAAGAATATTTTTCTGTGTCTATATGCTACTGTATGCAAATGAGCTAAAGAGTTTCCACCCATGGACTCTTCTCCCCATTATACAAATGTCTGCAAACCACACTCTCTCATAATGAATACGTGCTATCATCTGCTGTTGAAGTTCTTGTGATTTTACCTATAAAGGGAATTCATGATGTTGGGATGTGGGCAAATCATAGTGGAATGCATTGTCTTGGAACATGTTGTGCCCTTACCCCAATGAAAGAATCAACAGCAATGTCAAACTGTTTCAGATACCCCAAAATGGTGAAATGTAGCTTTGGTTCAGAAATAAGCCAGGATATTCCTGGTTTTCATAGTATAGGCTTGTGGGGTAGTTTGTTTTATTTCTTTACTAAAGTTAGAGTGATCAATTAAGATTAGGTGTATGTGGGTACTTCACCAGGCTTTGGGTATTTGTGATAGTCAACACTGTTCTTCTGAACATAATATTGTGAACATTCATTATCTGCATGAATTGCTATTTTTTTCTCTCCAGTCAAAGAGGAAAGTTGGGGTAATATTGACATACTAGCATTTATTGAGCTTGTTCCTCTTCTATCTTGCTGTCTAGGGTGTTTTGCCTGGTGCTGACTTGAATGTTTTTCCAACATCAAGTAGAAATCTACCTGTCTGTCTGTCTGATTTAGATGCTATTTATTCTTTCACGTATGGATCTCAAGGAGGCTTATCATTAGCTACAATTAAAAGTTAATTGGTTTCATTATGTTTTTTATACTGGATAAAATAAAAATGTTTTGGTTATAGGACCTCTATAGGGGTGACATAAATGAAATAAATAAATACCCCCATTGCAACTTGCTTGCTTTTGTTCCTTTTTTGCCTATGCTAGACTGCCATATTTGCATGACAATTTGCATGTCCTTTTTAGAAGGACACTTTCTATTTGAATCATTCAATTGATGCTATAGGGAACTATTGTAGGAATCATTTACCTGATAATTCTGATTTGTATGTTATCTTCAAGAGCCACTGAGTGTTTGTTTAGACCACAGTGGAAACCACAATTTAATTATACAGGCTAC